ATTCTCGGAAGTGTCTGTAAACAAAAAAGTGGGAAAACATTTTTTATACAGATTGAGTCGTATACAGACGTGCCTGTTACGCATTCAGATATTCTATTTTTCCCTCTATATATATATATATATATATATATATATATATATATATATATATATATATATATATATATATATATATATATATATATATATATATATATATATATATATATATATATATATATATATATATATATATATATATATATATATATATATATATATATATATATATATATATATATATATATATATATATATATATATATATATATATATATATATATATATATATATATATATATATATATATATATATATATATATATATATATATATATATATATATATATATATATATATATATATATATATATATATATATATATATATATATATATATATATATATATATATATATATATATATATATATATATATATATATATATATATATATATATATATATATATATATATATATATATATATATATATATATATATATATATATATATATATATATATATATATATATATATATATATATATATATATATATATATATATATATATATATATATATATATATATATATATATATATATATATATATATATATATATATATATATATATATATATATATATATATATATATATATATATATATATATATATATATATATATATATATATATATATATATATATATATATATATATATATATATATATATATATATATATATATATATATATATATATATATATATATATATATATATATATATATATATATATATATATATATATATATATATATATATATATATATATATATATATATATATATATATATATATATATATATATAACTACAACCCGTAAGTTTTGTCTGGTAGCATTTTGCTTAAAAAGCCCGCGAAACCAATATTTAAAATGGAAAACCACGCGAACATGCATTGAATATATATAACTTACCTGTATTCAGAAAGACTACTTCAACGACGTTTTTGTTGAGATGAAATTTAAATTAAAAATGAAACCGAAAACCTCACAAGTTCATTGAGTCACGTCTAATCAGCCGTGAGCGTTGAAGTCTAATAACAAATCCAAGTTTCTGCCGATTTTAAAAATAAAAAAAAACAAACTTTAAATTCATTTATTTTACTGCAAACAAGAACATAAAAAGGCGCAGATAAGTTAAAGCGCAATTCAATTCTTTTGAAAACAAAGTAAATTCTGTCACGATAGTCTACTAGAAAAACAAGAGGCCCAGGGGCCACAGCGCTCACCTGAGCACATCGGGCTTGAATTTACTCTCCCCCTCCAGGCGTTCATCATTTGAACAAACTAGAATCTACACTACCTGAGGATGATTCCATATAAATATCACTTATCACGGCTTTGAATTTCTTGAAAAAAAGATTTTAAAAGGTTTCCCCATATATCCCTATGTAAAACTTGGGTTAGCCATTTTGGCCCCACCCTAGCCACGGGGGTCATGATTTGAACAAACTTGAATCTACACTATCCGAGGATGATTCCACATGAGTTTCGTCTTTCCTGGCCCAGTGGATCTTCAGAAGGAATTTTAAAAATATTTCCTATATATTCCTATGTAAAACTTGGGTCTGCCATTTTGGCCCCACCCTTGCCCCGGGGGTCATGATTTGAACAAACTTAAATCTACACTACCTGAGGATGATTCCACATGAGTTTCATCTTTCCTGGCCCAGTGGTTCTGGAGAAGAAGATTTTTAAAGATTTTTTCCTATATATTCCTATGTAAAACTTGGGTCGGCCATTTTGGCCCCACCCTTGCCCCGGGGGTCATGATTTGAACAAACTTGAATCTACACTACCTGAGGATGATTCCACATGTGTTTCATCTTTCCTGGCCCAGTGGTTCTTGAGAAGAAGATTTTTAAAGATTTTTTCCTATATATTCCTATGTAAAACTTGGGTCGGCCATTTTGGCCCCACCCTTGCCCCGGGGGTCATGATTTGAACAAACTTGAATCTACACTACCTGAGGATGATTCCACATGAGTTTCATCTTTCCTGGCCCAGTGGTTCTGGAGAAGAAGATTTTTAAAGATTTTTCCTATATATTCCTATGTAAAACTTGGGTCGGCCATTTTGGCCCCACCCTTGCCCCGGGGGTCATGATTTGAACAAACTTGAATCTACACTACCTGAGGATGATTCCACATGAGTTTCATCTTTCCTGGCCCAGTGGTTCTGGAGAAGAAGATTTTTAAAGATTTTTTCCTATATATTCCTATGTAAAACTTGGGTCGGCCATTTTGGCCCCACCCTTGCCCCGGGGGTCATGATTTGAACAAACTTGAATCTACACTACCTGAGGATGATTCCACATGTGTTTCATCTTTCCTGGCCCAGTGGTTCTGGAGAAGAAGATTTTTAAAGATTTTTTCCTATATATTCCTATGTAAAACTTGGGTCGGCCATTTTGGCCCCACCCTTGCCCCGGGGGTCATGATTTGAACAAACTTGAATCTACACTACCTGAGGATGATTCCACATGAGTTTCATCTTTCCTGGCCCAGTGGTTCTGGAGAAGAAGATTTTTAAAGATTTTTTCCTATATATTCCTATGTAAAACTTGGGTCGGCCATTTTGGCCCCACCCTTGCCCCGGGGGTCATGATTTGAACAAACTTAAATCTACACTACCTGAGGATGCTTCCACATGAGTTTCATCTTTCCTGGCCCATCGGTTCTGGAGAAGAAGATTTTTTAAAAATGCCATTAATTTTTAACAAATTTATGATTATCTCCCCTTGGAAAAGGGCGTGGCCCTTCATTTGAACAAACTTGAATCCCCTTCACCCGAGGATACTTTGTGCCAAGTTTGGTTGAAATCGGCCCAGTGGTTCTTGAGAAGAAGATGAAAATGTGAAAAGTTTACGACAACAGCGACAACGACGACAACGACGACAACGACAGACGACGGACAAATTTTGATCAGAAAAGCTCACTTGAGCCTTCGGCTCAGGTGAGCTAAAAAGCGTTCATATCGCAATCTGGAAGCCGGGGTTTGATATCTGTATCAATAAGAAGAATTCTACAAAAAGAAAAACAAAAACGTAAAGGTTATTTTTAAGCTAATGGGTTTGTTGCCTCTCCGGCTCATTGAAATGGGTCGGTATGTAAGTTTGTTTTATTCTACAGAAGTACACGTTGATGATCGGGAAAGACAACAAATTGTCTTCAATTTGTGATACCTGAACTTATCTTCATATTTTATCTGAAAATAATTTTACAATATATTGTACACTTTCATACACATAAATACATATATCAAGAAAAACATTTTCAATTTATAAAATTAATTTCTTTTAATTAATTTAAATTAAAAATTCTCCCTTTTCTCTAGTTCAATTATATACAATAAATTAGGAAACAAAAATTTTTATAAAAGTATAAAATGTAGATTTTCAATGAAAAAAATATTAACATATAGGTCTGGTTTATTGGAGGAAAGTCTTTGTCAGAATCTCTATAAATCCAAACATGTCTTTCCTTTTTTTCTTTTTTATGTTTGCTTAATTTTAGATAAAATGGCTCTGTTCCAATCTCTGTTTGAAACCATTGAAAACATTTCATTCCTAACATCAAGCTTTATTTTGTCCACAAGAAATGAAAGAAACCTGCTTTTATTTCATTTACATTAATAATATATATTTGATATATTACATTATCATTTAAATATACTTTTCACAATAAAATTGATGGAATAAATAAACAATATTCAAGCTTACAAACCAATTCAAATAAATTATCAGAGATGGGATCAGGTGCCATGGAGAAGTTGACATCCCTAATTTACCAGTAACATTCGTCATGTGCTCCTTGACATGATCGGGGAATAACAAATGATCCGCCAGTTTCCTCAAATTGAACATTTGAATCTTTTATTTATACTAACCGTCTGTGTAACTATTTTTTCCTGTAAATTACTTAATATTGATTATAATATAACTTCAACATTAATTTTTACTTCCATAGACATTTTGTATTAGAATTATCAAAAACAATAAGTTCATTAAAAAAAATCTGGCGCAATATTTCCTGAGTACTTTTGCATCCCCTTAACAATAAAAATTTCATTCGGTTTTCATACAGTGCGTTAACATGTTTAATTTTTCATTACTTTAGCGCAAGTATTTTACAAAAAAAGTTCCTATCAACTTTCTCTGGATAGTCTTAATCTGACCTGAAAAATTTAAAGTTTACATAAAATAATACAGGTAAATCAGGTGTTATTCATAAAAAAAAAAATAGCAAAGTAATATCCGTCGTACTTATCATATATTTTTGTTTACATAAAAACACACTAGTATTCCATTCCAAAATTCAAGACTTGTATATTCATAAGCAAATTATTATGAAATTTAACTCCCGCTTACTTGAAAGATTATCCACAGTTTAGGAAATTCTCTGACATCTCCAAATAACTCAATGTATTTTTTCTCTTGTTCTGGATCCATGGAGCAGGTTTGTATTGTGTCGATGGTGTTGTATCGATGCTTATAGATTAGTAAGGATGACCGATGTTTAACAGATACATTCCAGACACGACAACCATGTGCTGTTTACATCATTTATTCATTGTACACTTCCGGTACATAAACTAATAACAGAATCATGATAGGACATCATAATTCCGGATACTACATTCCTCCCCTCTTTAGATAAATGATACAAAATCAAAATTCCAAAACATTCAAAATTATGATTAGTTTTAAACGGTTAATATTTCATTAATCAAGGTTAAGCAGTTTATATTTAAACATTGAACTTATGATAGACAAATGTCTTTTACAATCATTACATGCTTAGGAATATAGAAATAAAACAATAAGGACTTCCTAGTCCAGTGACCTGCTGGGGATTATTGTGCCCCTTTTCACAGCATGGCCACAATTTAACATAATGTCAGTTTAACACAAAATCTTTAAGATTTACAGGAAGCTGTTTCGATCTTTGGCTTCGCCTCAAGGGTTGCACAGCAGGTTTCTGAGATGTGTTCTTCACGGATGGGCTGGTTTTGGACTGTTTCACAACACTATCTTCTAAATCCGCTTTAGAACTGTGCATCTCTAACTCGATTTCCTCACAATTATTCTCCTGCATCCTTGCTCTGTTCTCCAACTCTTTATTTACTGCTGAATTGATTTTCTTGAACTGTGACATGTTGCGTGTTACTTCCCTGTCCACGGTGATCATGGATCCTTTCTTGTCCGTAACGGTTTTTGGCTCATATGAAAAGTATAGCTGCATCGTACCACGTTTTTCATTTTTCATCACGACGGAATCTCCTACACTAATGTCTCTTTCCTTTGCTTGATTTCGCTTGTCTGCATAACTTCTCATGTCAAATTTCTTCTTGCTATCTTTCTCTCTAACTTGAAAGTCGTTCGGAGTCGAATCTCTGTGAGTGGTTACTGGTAACCTTGTCTTCGGATTCCGATTGAACAGTAACATGAAAGGTGTATGTCCAGTAGATGAGTGTGGCGTGGCACGATATTGTCTGAGAAAGCGATACGACTCTTGCCGCCAGTTAAGTCCCTCAATATGAGCGGAGCGCACAGCTTTCATTAACGGCTTATTAAAACTTTCGGCTTGAGCAATGGCTCTGGGCCATCGTGGTGTTATCCTCCGATGGATAAATCCCATATGTTCTGCATATCTTCTGAATTCATATGATTGGAATGGGCTCCCATTGTCACTCTTTATTATCTTGGGTATTCCATATGCACTTATAACTTTGTCCAATACAGGTATGACGGACTTAGCAGAGACGGATTTCACAATCTCGACTACTGGGTAACGCGAATACTCGTCAATTATCACAAATAAATAGTCTCCACTGGGTAATGGTCCGCAGAAGTCGATACTCAAATTCTCCCAAGGTCCACCAGGTAGTTCCGACATTTTCAACGGCTCCATGGTATGACGTTCAGGAGTAACGAGTTGACAGGCTGAGCAGTTCGTGACTCGATTTTCAACTCTTCCATCCATACCAGGAGACCATGCTTTTGACCTAAGAAAAGCTTTTGTTCTTGCCATCCCCTGATGACCTTCATGTGCGATGTCTATAGCCCTGTCACGAAGGGCCTTTGGTAAGATAATGCGTGTGTCTCGTAGCAGAATATTATCACTGTGAACAGTAAGTTCGTCTCGCACTGTACTGATTGCTGTCAGTTCCTCGAGATCTGCTTCGTCCTGTTTCAGATTCGTCATCTTGTACCAGTCACCATTCCTAGTAAAATCAATGGCCTTTTGTAAAGTAATGTCATTTAGTGTGGCTCGTTTCACATCATCTAGTTCTATTGCCCGTGGCAAAGACTCCAGGGCGATGAAGTTCACATTTTCTTCTGACAAATCTCTCGCATCTGTTGCTGGCTGAACAGGGTGTCTTGAAACGTAGTCTGCCATATTATCCTTTCCAGGTGAATATTTTATTGTGAACTTGTACGGTTGTAAGCGTAGTCCCCATCTCTCAATGCGGAGTGGTGGTCGCGGCTTTTTCCAAATGGTCTCCAGAGGCTTGTGGTCAGTGATTATGGTAAAGTTATGCAAGCCTCTCAGGTAAAGGTCAAAGTGTTCACACGCCCAAGTGACTGCTAGGGCTTCCCTCTCGGTTTGACTGTATCTTGACTCAACAGGGGTTAAAGCTCTGCTTGCGTAGCAGACAACTTTATTGTTGTAAAAGGATGGCGCCTAACCTAACTGGGCTAGCATCAACTCTCACCGTTACTGGTTTTGAAGGGTCATAATACGATATAACCGTGTCTCCACACAGACTGTCCTTCAGCTTATAAAAAGCTTCCTCACACTTTGGACTCCAGTGCCACTGAACATTATTATGGTTAAGTTTTCTTAAGGGTTGACATATATCGGCATAGTCTTTGATAAAGCGTGAGCTGTAGTTTGTCATTCCCAGGAAACTCCTTAGTTCCTTGACATTTTCAGGTCGACTGAACTCCTTTACAGCCTTTACTTTCTCTGGATCTGGGAATATGCTTTTATCCGAGAATACAACACCAAAGAAGGAAATCCGTTTCGTTCGGAACTCACACTTCTTCTGGTTAAGGGTAAGTCCACTATCGGAGAGTCGCTGTAAGACTTTCTGAAGAGCTCTGTCATGCTGCTGGAGATCTGTGCCGAATATTACTATGTCATCAGAAATGTTTCTTGCACCTGGGATGTCCTGAATAACTTGTCGGATTGTCTCATGAAATATTTTTGATGCTGAGGATATCCCGAAATTTAAACGCTTATATCGGTAAATGCCAAGGTATGTACTGAAGGTAGTAATGAATCGAAAATCAGGGTGAAGCTCTAATCGATGATATCCGCTGCGGAGATCAAGTTTGCTGAAAACTTTTGCTCCATTCAGATCCAAAATTAGTTCTTCGATTGTGGGCATAGTATGTCTCTCTCTGCGCACAGCTTTGTTTGGCTCTCTCATGTCAATGCAGGGGCGTATATCTTCACCATTCTTTTTGGGCGGAGTAACTATGGGGGAGATCCATGGGGTTGGTTCGCCTTCAACCTTTTCAATAATGTCTGTGTCTAGTAGATGTTGAATCTCTTTTTCAACTTTACTGCGTAGGTGAAATGGAGTCCTCCGGGGTTTCTGTGCTACGGGAGGTACTGATTCATCAATATGAATCTTCACTTGCTGTCCTCGGAATTTACCTATTCCTCTGAACAGATGAGGAAAGTCATTCTCAACATTACTTCCAAGTGTTTCGACTTTGTTGATCACTTTAATAATGTTCAGTTCACTCGCAGTAGGGAATCCTAGTAGGGATCCTCCTCTCCCCTTCACTACATAGAATGTACACACAGTAAACTTCTGTGGAGTTTCAATCTTAACATCACATATGCCGAGCACTTTAATTGTGTCCTTTACACCGTATGGAACTAATTTTCCATGTGTTTTTCCTTTGTGTAAGGCTGGTTCTCCGATTTTCTCATAATCTGTCTCATCTAGAATGTTCACAGAGGATCCACTGTCAGCTAAAAGTTTAAGTTTCTTGTCGTTCAAGTTCACCGTAACATAAGGACCTCGCACCGTGTTGATACTCTCTGTGCGTCCAATGAGTTTAACATAACAATAACCATCCGAATCACTGTCACTATAGTCTTGGTTATTGTCCTCTTTGTTGACTAATCTCACTTTCTGAGGTTTCTTACTGCGACACATTTTTCTGTAATGTCTTACTTTATGACAGTCGTGACACTTTTGTCCTTTTGCTGGACATGGACGGTCCAAGTGTGGAAAAGGTCCACCACAATTCCAACACTGTCCTTTGTGTTTTGGTTTCGAGACATGGTTTAGTTGCTTTACTGGTTTTGAGTGATGTCGGTTTGGTCGTTTTTTAAACACTTTGTTTACACTTGCTGTGTCTAGCCTCTCCATTGCTGTAGCTTGTGAGTCCGAGATTTCCATTGCACGACCAAGCTGAATAATTTCGTCAAGAGTCTTGTCTGCTTCTCTCAGTGCCCTACGTCTTAACTGATTAGATCTACAGTTCTGAATAATTTGTGACAAAATTTCACTGTCTGTGTCAACAAATTCACAATTTTTCGACCGTTTTCGAAGTTCTGTCAGGAATTCATCAAGGGACTGGCCTTCTTTTTGTTTTTAGCAACGGAAGTTATATATTTCCATCTGCGTGTTCTTTCTAGGGCGAAAATAATCAGTAAGTAACTTTTTTGTACCGCTGTAATCTGGAGTTGTTGTCCCCTTCTGCGCCTCGTATATATCGTACGTTCTCTCGCCGACATAGTGTAACAATAAGGCTCTTTTTCTATCGTCTATACTCTTGATCACGTTCCGATCAGGTTACTCACCGTCGGGCACCACTGGATTCACTAATTTCAGGGCTATGAACGAATTTTCCAGGCGTCCTATCCACCTGTCCCATCGAGGCCCAGCGTTGATTTTGTCTGTTTCCGGGTCAAACTGCGGAAATAATGGCAACGTAATGTCCATCCCCGTCGCCAGTTGTTGTATTAGTAAGGATGACCGATGTTTAACAGATACATTCCAGACACGACAACCATGTTCTGTTTACATCATTTATTCATTGTACACTTCCGGTACATAAACTAATAACAGAATCATGATAAGACATCATAATTCCGGATACTACAGATGGCATCCTCGTACACCCCTGTGGTTCCAAGGTGGTTTTTTGATTCTACAAGCCCCGTGGGGATCCGAGTTAGAATAAGTTCTCAGTATCCCTTGCTTGTCATAAAAGGTGACTAAATGGGGCGGTCCTTCGGATTAGAACGTATAAACCGATGCCCCGTGTAACAGCACGATAAATATCCCTCCCTGCTCAAAGGCCCTGAGTGCCGAACATAGGCCTAAATTTGCAGCCCTTTACGGCAAAGGTGACGTCTCCATATCAGTGAAATATTCTGTAGAGGGAGGTTAAACAAATTACAATCAATCAATCTAGTTCTACAACGATATCTCAGATGTTCCGCCATTCCGCTCTGAACTTTGATTCGAAAAGAGAAGTATCTGCAGCGTGCCCATAATATTTGTTTCTTACAAGGCAAAGCCTCTCAATGTTTGCTGCAACACTTTAATATCCTGGTCTGGGAGTTTCTCCCCAACCATCCGAATGTAGAGGCATTTTATTTACATTTCTTAATAAGTACAAAAAGATATGTCAAAATCTGAATAATCCCTAATGTTAGGAATTTGGGCTGTAGCGAAAATGATTTCTTAAATTAATACAGTAAAACTCGTTTAGTACGAACACAGATATAGCGAATATACGGATATAGCGAAGTCATTTTGTATCCCCAGCTGTATAAATTTCATGAATTTTTAATACGGTTATAACGAATTACGGATATAGCGAAGTAATTTCATAGGTCCCAGCAACTTTGTTATAACAGAGTTTTACTGTATATCCCCTTGATTCCTTTTTTGTATTTAAGTTTAAGTTGTTTGTATATTCTTTCATCCTTTTCGACGATTCTGATGGCAAAACTTTTAAAATGTCACGCAAAGCTTCAGTACATGGACCCAATATAATCCGTGCCAGTCGAAAAATATTCATTGTTTCTTGGGTAGACGCATATTTTCGATAGCGAAATATCGAATATTGAGCAGATGCATTATGTTTTAATGTCTCATAATTGTATTAAAATTGAGTGAATAATTCATTATTACTATAAAATCACATATTTGCGTGGTTAGAATATGTTTAGTACTAATGAAAATGATTTTTTTCATTTCATGGTTTTCAAGAATTTGTAGATCTTATCGATCCTCGAAAACAACCAATAAAACCCCGAAAAAGTTTGTGATTTCTCAGTACATAGAAATACGATAGATATGATACAATGTGAATATGCTGCTAATAAAAACAAATAACAAAAAGAGATGAAAGGTTTAAAAAGAAGTACTGACCTTCTATCAAATGCTCCACATTTCAATGCTTCTAATTCGTGTAACATGTAAATATGCACAAATTGTATGAAGGACCTAAAATGAACCAAGTCACAAGTTTTTTGTAAATTAAAATCGTTTGACTTTTGAATGTCATAAATACATGACTAAACAAGAAGCGAGTAAGTAGTTAACGGAAACAAAATCTGATCTTCAAGTAGATGATTGTACAATACCATTTGTTTCATATCCTGACGCTTATGCAAATTAACAAGTGATTGTAAGAAAAAAAATTATATTTGATATTAACATTCTAGATTATCGGACGAAGATTTTGCTTGATTTTTTTCCTCGTGATTGAATTTTACTTTCCAAATCATGTAACGTGTAAGCAAACTTTACTGTATATTTACCTTAGTATTTACACATTGCAGCATGTTAAAGGCTACAAGATTGTCGTTGAGTACTATTACATCATTATAATTTATAAAAATTAAGATCTAGCTTATCAATATTTACGCGTACTTAATTTATAAACATGATTATTTTTTAATTTATCCAGATAAATTTGAATAAGTATATCTGATTTAATCTTGAATTTTAAATGAAAAAAATCTACAACTAAAATTATTCTGCACATAAACGATAATATAGCTTTCTGCTATAGATTTAAGAAATTCAGGCTTTACAAATCGGACCTGATTTGTTAATTGTATTCTCTCCATTCAATAATTTCGTCCTGGCAAATTTTTTCAATCCTAAACCTAAGCAATTCAGAATCTTTCCAAAAATAGATATTTCATTACGGGCCTTAAGGTATTTGTTAAAAATTGTTCTCTGAGCCGTAAAGCCCTAACAAAAAATACTACAGTTAACTATTGCTTACTATAGTAATTTAATGTTTTTAAAGTGATCACTTTGACACCATGAAATTTATTATTTACCATAGTGAACACTTTGACAATTTGATTTACTATAGTAAACACTTTGACACTTACATTTACTATAGTAA